CATCCAGGCGTGATGGCCGCACACAAGAGCGTGTTCACACAGACAGGTGAAAAAAGCTCTTACTGCAGGCACATGTAAGTATTGCACAGAACAGAAGTGCTCTTCTTTGTAACGTGAGACGCTGCATCCATCTCTGACGCATCAAATATTATTTCTTTGACGTGTACAAATATCTATATACTCCCATGAGAAATCATTATTTTGATTAATAACCTGTATTTTTTCGCAACCCATATTTTATTGGGAAAAAGTTACTTACAATTTATTATTTATAATAAGTATTTTGTACATGTTTCTGTCTCTGCTGGCAAGCTAAATTTACATTTAAATACAATTCACATTTACAGTACAGCAGCAGAACAGCAGCAGGGAAAGAAAAGAGTCTGTGTTTGTCCCACATGGGATCAACACACACACACACTCACACACACTTACACACACTCTCACTCACACCACACACACACAAATTATTAAACCATTCCACAACACACACACACACACACACACTCACACACACTTACACACACTCTCACTCACACAGACACACACACACAGTTCACAAGATTGTTTGGCTATCTTAGTGAGGTCATTGCAGACTTCCATTGATATATTATCAGTTTAATTATATTTTCCATCATCTAGCCCAAGCACTAACCCCTAAACTTACCCATCAGATAAACATGTCCAGAACACTAGTTTTCAGGGATTACTAACCCCTTCCAGAATTTTTTTTTTTCTCAAAATATTATTATATTATATTATATTATATTATATTATATTATATTATATAATTAGATATTTGAGACATTTCTTTGGTTGCTAGTAAATTATTAAAAAAAATGTTTTAGAATATAAAAATAGTCAGTTCAAATGTCTAAAGCTAGCAAGTATTCTCAATTTCAGTTTTCTATCTGTTGTAACATTATACTTTTCTACTGATAAAACCACTGACATATAGGTGGTAAAATGTTTCCATTGTGAAAATATCTAGATAAGCATATACAAATGTTCATGCACAAAATCAATAGGAAAATTATGACAATTTTCTGAAGTTACAATAAAGTCTATTCAGGTCATTTTTGTATAGTCACTGTTCAGTAGCAGCTTTGAGGGGCAATATTTGGAAATAAAATAAAAAAAAGATAATATTTCCCCATTGATTATGTGCAGAACTCAACTGCATATAGTCTTTAACACTGATGTCATTCATACATCCGAATAAATGTAACAGAAAGCGCATGTCTTACCTTTCTGAAAACTCTTGGTCACATCTGCAAGCAAATAAAGAGAGAAGGGAGGGAGAAAAAGAAATAAATGTCAGCAAATGAGCAAGTAAACAAGGGAATATTGTGAATAATGACCACGGCCTGTAAGAACACAAACCCTCCTGAACCTACAAAACCTCATTTATCTTTCTCTCTGTCTCGGCGTTTGCTCAAGTTACATTGATATTTGTCAGAGTCTCTGGGAGACTTTCATTGCTCTAACTATTCATTTTGAGCTCGATTTATGTCTCATTTTGAGATGCCACCATTCATTTCTACAGAACGACTGCAGGAGGAAACGAGACTGAAGTACAATGAGAGCGAGTCGATGTGTTTGTGTGAACTGATATTTAATAGGTCACTCCAGACTCATTATGTAAGAAGGCCAGAGAGCAGCTTCACCGTAACGACATCCTGAGAGAGAATCCATCACACACGCTCACGTGGAGTTCAGGTGTCTTTTAAGGGTCATTATTGTTAGTTGAAATTATTACAACGACAAAAAGAGCCAGCAAAAAAAAAAAACACACACAAATTCAACTGTGTGACAGAGAGAGTCATATGTATTCATGCAGGTGCTTGTGGAAATAATTGTGAGATTACTCTTTATGTCACTTGTGTTTGAAGGATCCGCAAAGACACTGGAGCTCAAAAACAAAGATTCCATAATCAGATTATCCCTTCCAAAACACGGTCAAAAGAACGGAAGAAAATCCTCATTTCTCATTCTCACCTTCATGTGAAGCTCCTTTCTGAATTATTTTACCCGTGACCTCCAAACAAACACCTGCAGCGAACGCCAGCACGCGTCCGGATATTCACACAGAATACATCAAACAAAAGCAAGATCTGTGTAACACACACACACACTCTCACACACACTCACACACTCTCACACACACACACACACCATTCACTACAAACAACCAGAATTAAGTTATGGGTAATTAAAAAATAAATAAATTATAAACTGTCAAATAAACTCAAATTGTTATTTTATAATATTTCATAAATAAATCACCCATACAGGCAGAACAATCTAGAAATTATATAATGTTACTTATTACCAATGAACTTTTCCAAAAGCACTTATTAATGTAATTCACCTATTAATTTCACTGAACATTAATCCAATTAGTCTTTAAATTTTTTATGAATGTATTTCTAATTAGGGATGCTAATCTTTGATCTAACATTAAATCAGTGCCAGTTTTATTTGATATGCAATTTAATCCAGTTAAAAAATATTTATCTGATTTATTATTTTTTTAAATGCATTTACTGAATTATTTAAATACTTCTGCTAATATAGCCATAATGAAAATGTAAAAGCCATTACTGCACTGAAAGTAAGTTGAAAGGAAACACATGAGCCACACGGACAGATACAGGCAGGCTACTTGGAATAAAACAAAATCTGCAAATCAAACTGTATGTAAAGTAGACAGGAGATATGAGATCAGAGAGAACGCAATACTATTGAAGCACAGGACAGGCCTCTCTATTACTTCAGAGCAATACACTGATAGCAGTCACGTTACGCTCAGCTCTGTTTAGAGTCGCGTCTCATCTAGAGCCGTTTAAACACACGTCTGCTCTGATTGTGTTTCAATTAGCATGTGACAGGAGCATTCCCTCAGCGCATGTTTCACTTTAACCTGACCAGCGGACCGTTAACTAAACCAGCTGCCTTTAACACTATAGAGCCAAGATGGCTGCTGGACCGAGTCCCAACCACAATAAACATAACGAGAGAGAGAGAGAGAGAGAGGGAGAGAGGGAGAGAGGAGAGAGAGAGAGAGAATGTGAGTAGATAGACCATTTCAGGACTAATATTCTGCTGTTGTTCATTTGCATCATGTTTGAAATCGCGAAGAACTTCATAAACACAGTAAGAAATGGATCAAACATTACTACAGCAGAGACGCCGAAATCCTGCCGTAACTCCCTGAGCTTAGCATTTATATGACACATTATCCAAATGAGACGAGGTAAACATAAAGATTATATTTCCCCTCTCAGAACTGCTGGAAAAACACATAAGCAAAAAGAATCAGCTCGAAATTCAAGTCAGACTATCAACATTAATAAACGTCTGTGGAGGAAAATGCCTGTAATTCACTGACTCACTTCTGCTGCTCTGTTCACCTGTGTGTGTGTGTGTGTGTGTGTGTGTGTGTGTGTGTGTGTGTGTGTGTGTGTGTGTGTGTGTGTGTGTGTATATGTATGTGTGTGTGTGTGTGTTTATGACTCAGCTATACTTGTGGGGATGAAATTGCAAAATGTTGCCTCATTAAAAATAACTCAAATAACAACTTGTCCTCAAAACCAAAAATGGCCCAAAGAGACTCAATAATGTCTTTATTCACTTGTAAAGGACCAGAGGCTGCGAGTGGAAGAACCAAAAAAAAAAGAGTACAGTCATCACTGCCATATGATTTACCACTAATTAACACGACACTCAACTCAGTTACAATATGTGGCAAAACAGAATTTTAAACTCATTTTATTAAATAAATCAATAAAATTGTAATATCTGCTAATTTGCCATTTTCATTTTAAATACAATTCTCCCTAAATGCTATTTTCACTCTGTAGTTCTTAAATGCTTTTTCTGATCAAATACTCAAATACAGAATGCATTTCTGTTCCACTCTATCCTTAACAATATGAGGTATTAAGTAACACTACTATTATGAGTTTTTATTTGTTTGTTTGTTATTTTTGCACATTCAAACCCAAAATATTTTGGAATGTGACAACGCTGACACTGCACGTTTCAAAATAGAAATGCCATGAGTTTTATTATTATTATTACTATTATTATTATTATTATTATTATTATTATGCTACAACAACAACTACTACTCTAATAATAATAATAATAATAATAATAATAATAAATCACACATCATTACTAATTGTGATGTGTGATTTATCACAAATCAAACTGAAACAGATTCACATTATTGGTAGTTCTTGTACCACGGCTCATCGGAGATCTAACTGCAGCACTTTCTAGACCAAAAACGACAAAGAAAATCTACAGGGAAACAAACGTAATGGTAAGTTAACACAAGACAAGGAACTGAAAAAATTGAGGGCAAATAATGCACAGGTAGATAATGAAAGTAGAAACAGACATAATAGGTACAACAAATGAGCAGCTGGAGCAAAAGAAACAAGAACGAAACATAGTAAAACAAATTATTACACGGCTCTGTGGAATACTTGATTCTGATTGGTCAGTCGCGACATTCCGAGGTCTGTTATCCCTCGATAACAACCGGTAAAAGCTGATAACACAGGCTCAACCGGGTAACTGAAGACGGCACTATACGCTTTCTAGGAACAGTTTTTGATAAGATGGTAAGATTTTAAAACAGTTTTGTCTTAAATAAATATCTTTGATCGCCATAATTATTTATGTGGTGAAATGTTGTGTAATAAGTATTCACCGTATGACTGCACCGTATCCCGTAAATGTCTGTGTGGTTTGAACTTGCCGCTTGCTCGCAACTCATGTCTTTACTGAAGCTGTGTGTTCAAATATTTCAACTGAAATCAATATTTTGTGTCAAATTATTTACTAATGTGGCAAGTAGCCGTGTAATAAACGGGATAATGTACATCCAGTCAGTTGTTATCGCAGAATAACCTCCGCTTCACGTCGGGGTCCTGATCACCCTGTCGGGGGTTATTCTGCAATTACAACCGGCTGGATGTACATTATCCCTTACGTAAAAAACAAACTAAAAGTCCATGAAACAGAGCAAAACTGTGATAGTACATCCCCATTCCGGCAGCTGCCTCCTGTCACAATATCTGAATGGTGGGAGGGAGTGGAAGTAACCATGGGGGAGGAGGTGGGAAGGAGACCCCAAATAACTAGTTAATTACAGACCGATCTCGAATCTCCCTTTTCTGTCCAAGATACTAGAAAAGGTAGTATCCTCACAATTATATTCCTTCTTAGAGAAAAATGGTATCTGTGAGGATTTCCAGTCAGGATTTAGACCGTATCATAGTACTGAGACTGCTCTCATTAGAGTTACAAATGACCTGCTCTTATCATCTGATCGTGGTTGTATCTCTCTATTAGTGCTATTGGATCTTAGTGCTGCGTTCAACACTATTGACCACAACATTCTTTTGAATAGACTAGAAAACTTTGTTGGCATTAATGGAAGTGCATTAGCATGGTTCAAATCGTACTTATCTGACCGCCATCAATTCGTAGCAGTGAATGAAGAGGTATCATATCGATCACAAGTGCAGTATAGAGTACCTCAAGGCTCAGTACTAGGGCCGTTACT